ACAACTTCCTTCGTCTAATACCATAACCAATCATCTTCCACGTTCGGATGTCTTTAAATACACAAAAATAAGGCCAAAACACCTCCAAACAATGTAAGGCAAGGGTTATTTGTGCAACCAATAATAAATACTAATTCAAGGAAGGAACCATACGAATAGTATCAAGTTTCGTGGTATCGGAAAGGGAAACCGTGCCTTCCCTAAGAACTGGGGCATCATCACCATTAACCACATTAACCTCAATGTGGGTAGAGTTTTTTAGTGAGGAAACTTGTCTAGAATCACAAGTTATATGTTTAGTAGCTCCATAATCAATTATCCATGTATTATTCATAACAGAAGTGGAGACATTAAGTGCCTTACCATCAGTACCTGCCGCGGCAATCAGAGTTGATGCTTTGCTTGCTACATTCCTGAATCATCCTTGGTTTCTGCAACGGAAGCTCGAGGTTTGTTGAAGTGAGGGTCACGTATCTTATCCTAATTCTCGGGATACCTAATCAGCTCAAAGCACCGACTTTTGGAATGTCCTGTTATACCATAATGGGGACATTTACCCTGAGGACAATCATTACCCGGTTGGCCGGTTCTTGGCTGCCCACTTTTATTCTCAGATCTACCTCGGTCGGTGCGGTTGGAGGGGTCACGGGCCTTTGCTGCCATTGCAGCCAATTCTGATCTTTGGCCCTCCATCTTCACATCTTCCTTGCGATTTGCTTCATGATAGACATACACATAAGCAGCCTGAAGTCCAAGCGGTGGGTCTTTGAGCAGTATTTCTCTACGAACCTGATCAAACCCATCATCAAGCCCACCAAAAAACAAATACAACTTTTTTCGCTTAGTTGTCTTCTGGAAGATTAGAACATCTTTTTCACATGCCATGGCCACTTTGTTAAAGTGGTCTAATTCCTGAAAAATCTCTATCAATTCTCCAGAGTAACTAGCCAAAGACCGCCCATTCTGCTTGAGACATGAAGCTTTCTGATTTAATGAATAAATCCTAGCTTCGTCATTCTCATCAAAATAATTAGTCTTAAGAGCATCCCAGATATCTTTAGAAGTTGACAATCGAATGTAACGTTTCATGATCTTTGGCTTCATTGCCGACAAGAGCCAACTCTTAATTCTCTGATCTTTAAAGAACAAATCATCATATTTGGGATCATCCTTTGCATGGGCCTTAATGGACCCACGAAGATATCTCATCTTCTTCCTTCCAACAATATGAATTTGAATAAGAGGAGCCTATAAATCATAATTCTTCTCATCCAAAACCATCCCAATGTTGAACCTTGAATTATCCCGCTGAATCATAACCGGAGCGGTAGCAGAAACGATTTGGTTGTTCTCGGTAGACATCTTTCATGAAGAATAGGAAACATGTGTTGCTGCAAAGGTACTTGGGGTAGCAACAACACATGTTGCTCACCGAAATTCGGGGCAGAAGATTGGGGCACAACAACTTCACGTTGCTCACTGTTCGTCGGAGGCACCACAGTGGTGCTGGGCACAACACAGTAACAAACCCTGTTAGGATTTGAAAACTTTCTTTCTTTTTTTACGACCTGGCTCTGGTGCCAAGAAGAGAATGCTTTGAATGTGTTAATTGTATTCTTCTCATTCTGAGGTATATATAATCATATACAATCCTAATACAATAAGGAAAGAATAATTACAATCAATCTACAACCTAAACTAGGAAACCCAATATTATAGGAATCCCAAAATTAACGGGAAATATTATACAAGTCAACAGTTTTGCAAACGTAAGCATATGTTAAATTTGTCACAACGTACACCCATGGAGTACAATTTATTTGTATGTTTACAACTTCACGTGCAACTGTTTATTTGGATGAGGATCCTCTCCGGATCATCTTTGTGAGAATCCTAAGTTTAGGGTTTAGGATCCTCACATTTTATTCGTTTATGTACATCGTGCGACCAACTTTCGTTAGGTACTGCTTGTATTTAATTTTAAATATTTTTTTTTGAAGTGATTTCTTGCCGCACAATGTACGAAGAACGGATAAGATGTGAAGATCCGGATGGAATCCAAATCCGAATTTTGGACTCTACTAGCAGAATATAAAATTTCAAATTTACCAATGAAGTAAACTAATATGCTCAAAAGTATTAGTTATTTTGACTAAAAATAATATTAAGCATTTGCATAGTTTGGACTCTAGAATTGGGGACGAAAGAAACACTATGAATAAATAACTAGTCGTTTAAAATTTGATTGATCACATTGCCGTCAGTGATCAGACTCGATATGAGACTGCACTCCAGTTTTTATAAATAATTATCGTTCATGAGATTTAATGTAACATTCCACATCGTTTAGGGGAGTGATCCTTAAATGTATATTCTCATCCCTACCTAGCACGAGGCTTTTTGGAAGCTCACTGGCTTCGGGTTCCGTAGGAACTCCGAAGTTAAGCGAGAAGGAGGCCAGAGCACTCCCATGATGAGTGACCCATTGGGAAGTTGCTCGTGAGTTCTCAAAAACAAAACCGTGAGGGAATGGTAAGCCCAAAGCGGACAATATCGTGCTAAGGTGGTGGAACGGGCCTGGGATGTGGTGGACCCGGGCTGGGATGTGACAAATGGTATCAGAGCTAATCCCTGGCCGGAAGTGTGCCGATGAGGACGTCGGACCCCTAAAGGGGGATGGATTGTAACATCCCACATCGCCCAGGGAAGTGATCCTTAAATGTATATTTTCATCCCTACCTAGCACGAGGCTTTTTGGGAGCTCACTGGCTTCGGGTTCTGTCAGAACTCCGAAGTTAAGCGAGAAGGAGGCCAGAGCACTTCCAGGATAGATGACCCACTGGGAAGTTGCTCGTGAGTTCCCAAAAACAAAACCGTAAGGGAATGGTAAGCTCAAAGCGGACAATATCGTGCTACGGTGGTGGAACGGGCCCGGGATATGACATTTAAACTCAAAATTATTTTCAATAAATTGAAGATTTATATCAGACTAAATAATCATCGACAATCAAACGTGCGACTCGGTATATCAAACTTGTATGAGTAAATGACATATGTTTAGAACACATAAATTTACAATGTGGCAAATAAACGTGATACGTAAAGATGTCTTTGCTCTCTAGTTTTTTGGTTGTTTGAATGAATACCTTATTGCTAAATGCTAAGTCTTAATCACTTGCAAATAATTTATAGCTTAAATGGTTGAGAGCATATATTCTTGTATCCAAAACCGTAGATTTGATCTCCTTCACACTATCTGTACAACAACAACAACAACAACAACAACAAAGCAGTTTCCCACTAAGTGGGGTCGGTTATATGAATTCTAGAATGCAATTGTGCTTGGTTCTATCATGTCCTCCTTCTTCACACTATCTGTAGTATAAAAAAAATTGTCCATCTACTGTTATTTATTTTTTAAAGAAAATCAAAAGAAGAAATCTGCTCAACTAAAAAATGTCATGACATCGGTTGGGTTCGGTTTTTTTTTAGCAAGCTCTTTCTTCTTATCATCAGTTGCTAGTTGTATGTATAGCTAGTCTCGTGGCCTCGTGATATTCTTATGTAATCTTCCTTTCCCTTCGGACTTATGCCCCATTGTCAACCAAAAAAATAAAATAAAATGTAATCTTCCCTTCTTTTCAGACTTATGCCCCGTTGTCAAGCAAAAAAAAAAAAAAAAAAGAAAAAGAAAAAGATTTCATGACATCCCCATTCGAAATGCCGTACGTCGCTGAAGCTATTTCCTAACATTACTTAGATACAGTTGCGGCTATATAATCTTCTAGAAATGGTCAACGACTAGTAGTGGGCAGAAACTATTTCCTAACATTACTTAAATACGGTTGCGGCTATATAATCTTCTAGAAATGGTCAACGACTAGTAGTGGGCAGAAACGAGTCATTCGACTAATCTTCAAAATTCCACATTTGCCCTTCTGATGTTCTTCAACTTCTATATATTGTCCTCCACAGTTTCACCTCACAATACAATACTGCTAGCTAGCTCCCAGGTAATCGTTTTAATCAAACATGTCGTCCATGCTCACCAGCCTCTGTGTGGTTGTTCTCCTTCTCTTCCCCTCATTATCCGGCATGGCGGCACGGCCGTTGCCTTCTTCTTCTTCTGATGTCAGTGCGGTGAAAGTTCAACATGAGGTAACTAATTATCACTAATTATAATACTTCTTCCAAAATCATATTATAAACTATCTAACTTGTGGTACATTTTTTTGTGGGTTTTTGCTAATTTTTGTTTTTTGTGAATTTTTTTTTTTTATATATAGTTGGAGGATGTTGAGGTAGAAAAATCCATGGTGGAGGAAAGTTGTGAAGGAGTTGGGGAAGATGAGTGCCTAACGAGAAGAACTCTTGCGGCTCATATTGATTACATCTATACGCAGAAGCACAGCCCATAAATTGATTTTTCAACTCATATGTAATTATGTATCATCTTTCTTGATTAGTTTAGTTTATTGTTCTATACTTTACTAATTTGTTTTAGGAATTTTTTTGTGTACTAGCCGGTGTAATATATACAGATAGTTGTGGAGTAGTTCTTCAATTTTCGGTTCTTTCTTTTTTCTGTTTCCGAGTTCTTTACAGTTCTCCCATATGAATTATCATCCAAATTCTTACATGATAATAAGTAATAACTATATCAGGATTAAAACGGTTGGAAGATAAAATCCTACATTAGAAATATACAAAATACTATATAATTTATGTGTGAGAGGTTATTTCTAAATTCCCGAGACATTCTATGATAAAACTTCACACTTAGGGCCATTTTGGATTTTTTTTTTTAAATTTCTCATGTACTTTGAGAATAATCAACTGTAATAAAGCATGTGAGTATGAAAAGCAGTGTAAAGCGTTTGGTCAATTTTAATGTAAAAAGTGGTATAATTATATATGATGACAAAAATGGACATGGTAGTGGGATGATGCTGATAATAGTGGTGACAAGGGCAGTGTTTGTAGTGGTAGTGGTGGTGACAATGGTGACAGTGGTGGTGATGGTGTGGTGGCAATGGTATGGGTATGGTGGTAGTTTCAGTAGTGGTTTGTGTTGGTTTGCGTGCAGAAGTAACAACGGTGGTAAGGGCAATGGTAAGAGCGGTGGTGGCAGTTGTGATTGTGGTGGCAGCGGCAACAATAGTGGTGGCGGTGGTTATTGTAGCGGTTATGGTTGTGGTGGTGGTGGTGGCGATGGTACCGGTGGTGATGACAATTGTTTTGGTGATGTTGGTGGTGGTGGCAACAATGACGGTGGTAATGGCGGTGATGGTGTAATGTTAGTATTTGTAGTGGTACATGGGGGTTGTCACTTTGTTCTATATGAGATAAAATGTGTGTAGAAATATCAATAGTGTCATTTTAAAAAACTAATGAAAGTATTACAGGAATTGAAAATATTTATCAAAGGCTCAACTTAGTTTTTTACAAAAGATGTTTTAAAAGCTATTGTCAAGAGGTCATTCCTTTTTAAAATAAACATGATATTTCAATTTTACCAAACACATTTTTACTACTTAATTTTAAAGTGAAGTAACTTGTGGTGAAAAAAAAAAAAAAAACCAATACTAAACAGAGCTTTAATAATATGTAGCTAGGTTGAGACTATATTGGTGATAGTGATGAACCATAACGAGCCTAAAGAGTTTATCAAAAACTAAGAATGGAACTATTTGAACTACATTGCTCAGAGTCATCACAAACTAAGATTTTACATTGATACCAAGTTGAGGTAATAACAATATTTTTAGTTGTCAATGTGCTACATGTAACATTATTTTAAAAGTAATGATTCTTAGTTATACATTTAGAGTCAGTTAGTAATACAATCAAGTGTTATTTCTCTTCATTTATAAAGAAGAGTCCTTAATTTCAGATCTCATGGTTACATATATAAAATAAACAAATACATTTAGAGATGGAGATAATAAATTTTCTGTAATTTTGTTGCTACTTGATTAAACAAAACTTAGTTATATGTACTGGACATATACATATATAATGAGTGTACCGTAATCCTAATAATTTGGGGACTGGAATCATTTGACACATAATAGATCTAAGATCATGAGATTGTTTGTAGCATCCGCGATGCTCGAATAATTAAGCAAATTTCGTATTTAATTTGTGTCTTGATCATATGACATGGACAAGATCAATCATGATGACAAGGACTGCTATTATATATTCATGGAGAAAAGTTTACTTAGTGGATTCCATATTAATAGTTAATATATACTGTTGGGTGGAGAAATTTATGTGCAATGGTCATACGGTTACGTTAGTATTGGTAATTTTTGAGATGATGATATGGTTGATATTTTGTGAATTTTCGGTAGTCAAGGACGAAGCTGTATAGGGCTTTTTGGGGATTCCCCCATTCAATTTTATGTGTGTGTATACTTTTGCATTCCAATTCTCAAACCCTAATTAAACTACACATGAAAAACATGGATTGCATTTCAATTCCAACGTTGGTTCTAATTAAACTATAAAAAAATGGTTTAGTGGAAAAAAGACAAGGTGTATCTGCTAGTTTACATGTTTGTGACATTAACACTAACTCTTCTAGTTATTACTGCCACCGTTGAAAGACATTTTCGGCCATGAAATTTCTGAAGAATCAATTGAGAAATCGAATGGAAGATTGATGGATGAATGATAACATGATTATTTTTATAGAGAGATATTTGATGGTATTGGTAATGATGTTGTCATGCACCGCTTTCAGAACATGAAAACGCATCGAGGAATATTGTAAGATGTTGCATGAAAAACTTTATGAATTAATATATAAGTGTTTTGTGCAGTAAATTATTGAGTTTTTTTTTTATTGTACCTTGTTGTTTGAAGATGCTCCAAATTTCTAGCTTCGTCCCTGTCAGTAGTAGATACACGTGTTATAATCTGAGTGGATTAACTAATTAATAAATGATGAGTTGATTTTATATTATATATTTTAACCCTATTCTTAGTATATTTGGTAATTATTCTGGTGAGATTTTGATACTTTGATTTATATTTCTATTGTAGGACACTTATTCTTGATAAAAACAGTAATGGACGGCTTTTGGAGTGATTCCAGTTATAGGATGTTCACGAGTCTTTCAACTTCTTCATGTCAATGACTCATATTTTTCTACAAAGCAGTTAATTTATGGTGATGAATTAAAGAACCAGTGCGCAAAGATGTCTAAATGATGTTTTGAGTTTATTTGGGCTTTTTAGCATCCAATGTGGCGTCTTACGGCAATAGGCCCCTCTGCAAATATGTTCATAACATCTCAAGCTTTAAAAAGAGATCTATTGGGCCTGTTTTGGATGTGTCTAGGGCCCTGAACGTGGCTGTTTTTTAACTGGGCAATTTCTCCATGTTTGACTAGGAGATTGCTTCTTAGTTTTCTTAATTTATTTTGTTTCCTAGTTTTTAGAAGACTTTTTTCTATGAATGATTTTAATTTGTAGTAGTATAAATAAGGCTTATTCGGCCATTAGGGTTCTTTATGGATCAATTTGGTGAACTTGGCTAGGCTTTGGCAATTTATATTCTTCTTTCAAGATGTTTTCTATCTTTTTCTTAACAATTAATATTTCCTTTTTGTGATTATGTGTAACTAACTTTCTTTTGTTAGGGCAAAACCACCAGCCTTAGCATGAATATGTAGTCTTTATTTAATTGCTTATGATATTATGCATGCATATTTTGAATTATTAATTACTGTGTTTAAACTATCTATTTGTGTAAATGATTTGCGACTATTATGATGTTTAGACAAGTAATTGGATGCAATTCAGTCGGAATATCACTGGAGGATTGAGTAGGGCTTTCTTGTGATTAGTAACTATAATTTCACTTAGGATGAATATCATGTCTTAAGGGTTGCAGGGTTTTTCAAAGGGTTTTCATAAAGCTTAATAAGTCTTGCATGTTCATATGTGATCTGAATACCACTGACAGATTACATGTTAAATATATGTTCTTGCTTGAATATCACAAGGAGAATATGCATTAGGAAAACTGACCTTCAAAGTTGCATGTGTAATTCATAAGTAATTGGTAAACCTACATAGAATTGTTAAGGCAACGACGGAACCCAAGTGTCTTTTTATCATTGTTTTTCAAATTTACAGTTTGGTTTCCTTAAATTTGATTTCTTACCTTTTTATTAACTTTGTATTTATTTTAAATCACAAAATCAACTTTTTCTAAACTTTGTTTTTGTTATAGGCATAATTTACTAAACGATTATGGAGGCCAAAAAGATAGAGAGGAAGGTGCGGCAATAGTAGAGAGAAGAGATATATGTGTAATTGTGGGTGTGTGTTATACCCCATTCTGCCTTTATTTATAGTAGTAAGGATGGTTAATTCCTTACCCTTTAGGATTACATTCTGCCTTTATGGTAATCTACTCATAATAGGAATATAAGATACATTCTCATATCTACTAGGATTTACACAATCACATTCCTAATCTAATAGGATTGCAACACTCCCATTTGAGTGTGTAAATACTTAAGTAAATGGTGCATCAGGTCTTCAATGATGAAGTAAGTAAAGTTGATGAAGTCGTCGACACAATGAGCGAATACGAGTCTCAAATCAACGGAAGAATGCATAAAAAAGTAAAACTCACAAAACCTGGTTATGGTAAAACCCCAGGTGGGAGAAAAACCCATAGTCTAAGGAGAAAAGTGAGAAGTTGCATTAAGTCAAAACTATACGTCTTTTGGACACAAGTAGAAGAGCTCACAAAGGTATGTTCAGCCCATAATGGGTGCCTCGTTAAAACCTAGTCAGGTAGCAAAAATTTAGTGGGGAAAATGCTCCTCATCGTAGGGAAAAATAGTACATTAAGATCAAGTGAGTATACTTTTGGATACTTCCCCTGAGTTTGACATAACTTCCAAATGAGAACTACAAGCATTGCATATGAATAGTTAGGCATATCAATTCCTTGGACAAGCTTTTGGAAGGTTAACTTCGGCAGTGACATCGTGTAGAGGTCAACGAGGTTGTCTGGGATTGGCTTGCATGACTTCAATCTCCCGATGCTTTGCTGATGTGATGTAGACGCAATATGTCTTGGCATTGACTTCGTTGATGTATCATGTCTTGGTCGGGTGGATACATATGGCATAGTCTTCATGGATCATCGTTGGGACTCAATAATGGATGAAAACAACAAGTACTTCGAATATGTTAAAAAAGAACTCCTAACCATATCTCACTTGTGGCGTAGTGAAGTGAGGTGAGTCTTGGAACGATTTGAAGGTTTCGCAACTAAGGTCATATCGTGGACCTTCAAGATATTGCGATATCCCTAAAGGTAAAGGCATAACCATTTGGGGATTTTGCCTTGTGTGAGTTTGATAAGTAACCTGCGTCAGCATAACAAACAAGGCAAGCATCATTTCGAGGATCAGGGGGGTTGGATCCGCTCGAGCTGCATTGAGATTTGCCTTCATAGTACCTTTAGGGTACGTCTTTAATACCAATTTATGGTTGAGTGTAGGCGTGGTGCTGTATCTTTACCAAGATCAACAGCAAAGGAGATGTCCTGTCTAAATATAATAAGCTAAGTACAACGAAGCGCAAAGTTGAACTTTAGATATGGAATTTCTGATTCCATAACCTCTTCAAGGGTCTCATTTGCATATAACATATGGACGATCAAAGGTATACTCAAAATGTGACACCTTCGGGGTGTAGTTCAACCGGTAGACCAAAACATCATTAGAACAACGCTTCAACTTCAAGTCAAGGCATAAACGAGTTTTCCCAAGATCATTCATCTCAAATTCCATCTTCAGGTGCAAGGCAGCTTTCTCAAGCTTTTCTTGAGTCTTAGTGAGATTTGTGTTAACGACATAAACTCTAACTCTAGCAATTTGGAATAAGACTTCATAGTTTAACACGCAATGGCATAATTCATCCCTAACTGATCAAATAATCACATAAACGAGTATACCACATCCGTCGGATTTTTCAATCCATAACTGAACGCCTCAAAACGAGTTAAGAAAGTGTTTTGTGGTTTGGAACTATTTGAACCAATCCATGTAATTCTTGGGGAATTACATGTCAATCTCCATATCTATATCCCCATGAAGAAAACACTAACCACATTTCATAATGCTGCTATCAATCACAGGACATTTGAGAGAAACCTTGCGTCGTAAGGTGTGCATCATATCGCACTATTTCATTCATCTCATAACACTTCCTTTCCCACTTGTAACATAATAGGGTTACCTTGGTGTAGGAACGACATGTCCAAACACACTTTGGTAAGGAATTTGACCTGGATCGTAATTTCGGTTGTCCAATCAGTTTTATGTAGTCACTTAGTCAACGGAACGCAGTTCGATATCATCGCTTTTCATTTAAGTCGGTAGCTACCATATAAGTGAAAACATCATCAATGGTAATCTCATTTCAATTCCATTTAGCTCACCCAAACTAGTATACTGGACCAAAACCTTCAAGTCTCGGGAGTAATCCGGATTAATCTCATGAGATGGAAATGATTTGAGACAGCGATCAAGTATGGATTCATTGTTGTGCCCTGTTTTCCTCTTCTAGGGAAGTGAATCCTACGAACCGAGTGATCTGTTGTGTTCTAAGCCAAGACAGATTGTTGGCTATCTGCCGGTTTATCAGACCATCTAACAAGGGCGTTCAAACTGTCTAACATGGGCGGCACACCCTCCAGGGATGTTGACTCGATATCCGTTAAGTACGTCTATCCTTGTAGGCATGTTTACAGCTGGTATATGATCTTGTCAATTCAGTTAGATCATAGGAATGCGTCTAGAGAAACATTCTGAAAGCTAGAATATATCGCACTTGCTTATCACATTTGTGCAGTACGAGGATCGAGATGAGACATAGTAGGAAACGTCCATGCAAATTCATGGCTTTCTCCAGGACTGTTGACGTTCTTATCTCCCCTTAACAGCGGGAAAACTATTTCATTAAAGTGACAACCCGTAAATGAGAGGTAAAGAGATCACATGTAAGGGCTCTAAGAGAGCTAGTGTGAAGGAGAATCATGATGGACAAAAGATACACATCCTTCTTTGAGGACCCATATTGGTATGTTGCGGCGGCGTAACTTAGCACATGGAATGCACACTTAAATGCGTAAATACGAAAATCATCAGGTTAGTACCCAGTAACCAACTGTAACGTCATATAGGTTGGGTGGCAATGGGCCTTAAGGCGGACTAACATAACTGCGTACAAGATTTCATAGCCCTAGGCAGAAACCGAAAACTTGGTACGCTTACCAAAATTCAGGCGATCATTTAAATTGCGCTTTATAAACACTAGGCGAGGCTATTTGGGGTGAACATGGGAATTCGATATTCAATTATAAACCCAAAACACATGCAATACTTTATCAAAAAACCGTCGATATAAACTCTTCAGCATTATCCAGTCTCCCAGGCCTTAAGGGATAAGTAGGGTGGTGAACCCTTAATCGGCCAGGGGGTTTAGCAGCAATGTGTGTCGACAAACATGTGACCAGTTTGTCGATTCATCAACCAAAACCATAAGTATTTATATGGTCCGCATTTTTGTTGGATTAGTCCACATATACTCCCTTGAATCCACTATGAAAAAAGGGTGATTTTGTATCTTTACGAGAAATGATATAGAAAATCAATTTCCCTAATGAGCAGGCTTAGCAAAGTGTGCTTGTAGGCAAAAGATCCATACTTTGGGTAAGGAGATACGTCGTAGCATCATTGTTCGACCTAAGTGTCCCAAAAGGTCGTGCCAAAGCAAGTAAACTGCTCAATCACTAGGCTTCAGGCCGGCCACATGTGGTGTATTCCCAGTTGGGAGACAACTTATTGGCCCCAAATCAAAGTTTCAAACTCATGTTTGGAGGTGGTGTAGAGTTATTTCGCTCTATTTTTTTCAGTGGTTTCATTTATGATCATTGTCATCTTGAATATCGTTAAAACTCAACAACAAAGAGAACTTAAGATCCCTTAAATGGTGATTTAGTTCCATTCATACAACGAGGAGCGTGCCAATGCTCTTGATCAAGTTGGATAGACCTGAAGT